GCTGGGGACAGTAAAAGGAAATAAAATTCCAATTCTATCTCTGTACCTACTTCTCTGTCTCTGGACTGGGAGACTCATTAACATTTTACCATATGACAAGGCCCTTGAATATATCTCCATCTCCACCCTCTACACACACACACACACACACACACACACACACACACACGCACACACAATATAATTTTTCAAAGAAGAAAATGAACCCCCGGATCTCAGACATTCAAGATCTCACCCACATGTGCTCAGGCCACAGAGAGGGCAGCTCAAATCCAACACAAAACTGGAAGGAGAGCTTGATTTCAGATCACCTGTGGGTTCTGGAAATTTGGGTGGCTGCTTTATTGCAGCGAGTGGCAGTAATTAAAGCAGTCTCTCCTTTCAGAGATTCACAGGACTAGAAGCCACTTTAAAGTCATTTGTACAGAAAAACATTATCGATATTTTTAAATTTAAAAAAAAAAACGCCGGATAGCAGTGATACCATACAGTATGATCCCACCCAGCAGAGTAACTAACACAGACACATGCAGAGAGGGACTGACTGGCCCCACTTGTGGTCTTGGATAGAGGAAGGTTCTGGGGACTCACTCTCTGGGACCACGGGAGCTCTGTGCAATCTCTGTTGTTCAGTTCCTCATCTGGAGACAACAACAGTCCCTTCCTCAGGAGGTTTGTGACAATCGAATGAGTTAATGTCACGTAACATGCCCGGGTGGCGCAGCCCCAAGCAGGCTCAAGGAAGCACACGTCACAGCTCTTGTCGTGATGAGTGCTTTCATGGAGCTGCCACGTTTCTCCAAAACGTCTCTCTATTCCTTTTATTACCAAAAAAAAGTTATTTTGATAAAACAATCATTTCGATAAAACCAAAAACCGAAACACACTCAAACTATCCCAAAACAAGCCTCTTCTCTCAAAACTGGAAGGGGAAGGTTCGCCAGATACATGAGGCAGAAAATTTAATGACTCGACTCAGTTGGAAATGTATTCTAGTCCATTAAGAGATTCCATAAAGTCGGCAATACAAGCAGTAAATAGGGGTATGGGAAAACATTCAACCTCTTTAGCTAATAAAAAAATTGAAAATTAAAATATATAACCATTTTCAACTATTAACCAGAAAAAAAAATATTTTTTAAGATATTACCCAATACTGCCAAGAGTAAAATAAAGCCAGAATTCTCACATGTTGCCAGTGAGGGAGGAAGCTGGTGCAAACTTTCAGCAAAACAAGGGGGCGTCTGTTTCGAGAGCCAGGAAAGGCTCCTGTCCTTCAGCCCCGTCATTTCATTTCTGAGAATCTAGCGTAAGAAAACTTCTCAAAACGGGGAAAGTCACGTCCACCCTCATGTTCACAACAGTGAATGTTATTTCTGATAATGAAAAACTGGAAATAACATAAATGCCAAATAATGAGGAAATAAACTATATTTTACCAATGAATGGACTATTTATCTAAGCATTAAAAATGATAAAGAGAAATATGTTAGAATGTTGAAATGTCACCTGGAAAAAAAATCAAAATATAAAATTGTATACCTATGGTGATTAAACTGGGAAAAGCCTGAATGAAAACTTCTAAGATGCTAATAGTGGTTCTGTTAGAGTACGGATTCTATGTGTGATTCTGCTGTTTTTCTCCTCCTTGTTCCCCCAATTTTTATAATATGTGATTTTTACTACCTTTATGATAAAAAAGTTTCTTCCTGTCTTATGAGAATCTTTCCTCTGCGGTGGATACAGAATAGCTTCTCACTGCCTCACAACCCAGCACCACATCTCTCCACTCTTCTCTCACCCTCTGGAAAGGGCAAGAATTCTCCTTGTTTAAGTGTATTATCTTCTAAAGGCCAAAGCTATTTCACAGGGCACTTGAGGCCACCACTACTCTGAGAACAGCAGCCGCCTTCACTCTCCTCCCGTAAGGATCAAGCTGTTCCAAAGATCAGAGAAAGGGCTTTGTAACTTCTGAGCAAGACACGGAAGGAGGTGGCATGAATTCTAACTCGGCCACTCTCAGGGTGCCCTTGAAAAGATGGTCCAGTTGATGTCCTGGAGCCCTCAGCCCATGCTGGCTCAGGCTGAACCCATCGCATACGTCTGTCCTCCGGGTACGGACAGGTTCCTTAATGGACTCTAAACATTCTGATCAGCAGAAGTAAAAAAGCGAAAGAGACTTAAACACCCAACCTAGAGAATGGTTAGGCGACAGGGATCTACCTGATGGAAGGCAGGCAGCCTCACAGAACAACTATGATGTTAAATACGGAAATGTGGCAACGGCTTCTATGTGAAGCAGAAACAAGCAGGTTACTGGGTCACGGGCCCTCATGACGACAGCTGTATAAAACAGTTTGTGCAGAATGACCAGTAACAGTTAACGTTTACCACTCACTGAACACACCCAGCACTATGCTGTGTGCCGACACGCACTCACACTTCACAACAATGCTTATTAGAGGCCTTACTCCCATTCTGGAAAGGAGGAAATTGAGAAACCAGGAGATTAAGAATTCTCATTTCATCCTCCCCAGGGCTAAGGTTTAGAACATTCTGGTAACTTTCCTAAGACCACACAGCACGGGGGGAGAGGGCTGGGATCTGGACACAGTCTTTCTCCAGAGCTCACACCCTCACCTCCTGGACTAGAAGGCAAGAGGCAAGAAATTTAAAACACAAATAAAATTTCCTTTAGAAAAAGACTTCTTTTCCTTCCCTCTACTGTCTGAACTTTATAGCGTTCTTCTCTTTTTCTCATTTAAAGATTACAAAAAGAGGGCCAGCCCAGTGGTGTAGCGGTTAAGTGCACGCGCTCCACTGTGGTGGCCCAGGGTTCGCAGGTTCGAACCCCAGGCGCGCACCGACACGCCGACTTGTCAAGCCATGCTGTGGTGGCGTCCCATATAAAGTGAAGGAAGATGGGCATGGATGTTAGCCCAGGGCCAGGCTTCCTCAGCAAAAAGAGAAAGATTGGCATCAGATGTTAGCTCAGGGCTAATCTTCCTCACAAAAAAAAAAGATTAAAAAAAGAAGGGCAACAGAGAAGAGATTTTCTTACTGCCTGTGTTTGTGTGTATGGTTTTTTTAAATTATGTTTTGATCAAAAGACTAAATAAATGTCAATCAAGTCTGTACTACACTTGGGGGTTAAGGGTGGGAAATGAGGAGAAAAAATGATGGAGAAGAGCCGACACGAGCCTGTTCCAAACCAAACCAAACAGCGCCAGGCAGCTGCCCACACCATCTTGTTTTTTATAGTCTCTTTCCACCACCTCTTCCAGTTTGCACATGAATTCTGAAATCATGGAACTGGACTAACAGAGACACAGAATGTCACAGAAGACCCCAATATCACACAGCTGCCACTAACAAAGCTGGGAACAGAACTTAGGTCTCAACTCCCAATCCTGCATCCTTCACAAACTTATCCTCTGCTGAATATTCTCAGCTCAGCTGAAGACAATCTGCATTTACTGGAGTTCAAAATATACATCATGTTCCGGAAAAGATCCTTCCACATATTCAAACAGTGTTTCATAAAGCTCAAAACTGGACAAATTACAGAGTTCACACAAACTATCTCATTTGTAACTCAAATTACAAATGTTAAATTTCTAGCAATTTTGAAGCCATGCTAGAAACTCAGAAAGTTGAAATAGACATAAACTTTTAAAAAAATTCTGCAAAAATAAAAATGCATTATGTATACTGGTCTATTCAGAAAAAATCACACGCAACTAACAAAATGAAATATTCCCCACAAAAAACATACCCCCAATCCCCCCCCCCAAAACCTCTCTGAAGAGTGGGGGCAGGCAGGGATACTGGACCCCTGAACAGACCAAGGGCCAGTCTCAGAGCAGATGGCTTGCCTGAGGGAGCACATCATGAGGGAGGGGTGGCTGGCTCCAGAGGTGGGTTCCAAATTCAGTGCCCCTTCCCGTGCGTCAACAGACTGGGCCTCAAACCCCAGGAACAGCTATGTTAAAAGTTCAGATTATCATCCTCTCCTCAGCCATTTCCTCAGCTGGCTTCCAGAGAGACAGCAGATTCAGAGCCAGAACACACAGTTCTCCCGTCAGAGAGGCCCTGTGGCTTGGTGCACGAGGCCCTCGAAAGAGCCAAGAACCGTTGTCCAGCTGTGTGGTCCCAAGGCATGCAGTCCCCCACTCGACAACCCCGGCCCAGCGCTCCTCGGGTCTGCTCCCCGCCTGCCAGGGTGCGACAGCCGAGCGCAGTCTGCAGCACCAAACCTGAGCAAGGAAGAGGAATACGCCTCGATGGGGCAGGGAACATGACCACCCCACACCCTGGACGCCCCTCAACGCACATCCCAGGTGCCTCCTTTCTTGTAGGCTACCACTGACGAAGATCTGATGCATATTTCAGGGGCACGAAACGGGAAAGAGGCTGAAGAAGGAGGTGGGGCGGGGAAGATCAGAAAGAACCCCCAGGTCTTGGTGGTGCCCATTTGAAGATGATGCCCAGGCCGTATCGGCAGAGAAAAAGACAAGTAGAAGCAAATTACTCTCTGTCTAGTCAGTACCAACTCCGTGCTGGGTACTCGACATAACACTACAGCTTACTGAATCGTCAAGGCTCCACAATGTACCAGATATGACAGGTGGTCACCAGCCTGGGCCCTGGGGTCAGGCAGCCCGAGGTTCAAATCCAGGTCTGCTGCTTGCTGGCTGGGAGACACTGAAGCTACATAAGCTCTGGGAGGCTCAGAGTCCTCGTATGTAAAGTGAAGGTGTGACAGTCTCCGGGGTGGGTTAGAAGAGCCTGGTGGCAGGGTCCTCTGCTCTCCCAGAGCTGTGGCTCCATTCTCACCGAGACCCCTGATTCTGCCCAGACCATGCTGCTCTGAGACAGAGCTACAGAGTGGAGAGGGCAGGCCTGCTCACCAGAGACTCACACCCACCAGCAGGGGCAAGCAGAGTGCAGGGTCCAGCCCCCCTCCCCTGCCCGCGGCCCCCCGCCCCCACCCCACTCACGGCACTCCTTCTCGTCACTCTTGTCGAAGCAGTCAGGCAGCCCATCGCACTGCCAGGCGCCGGGGATGCACCGCCCGTTGCCGCACATGAAGTTGCCTGGGATGTTGCACTCGTTGGTGAAGTTGTTCCCGGGGAGCAGCTGGCTCTCTGTGGGAGAGAGGGGATGGGGGATCAGACAGCATGGCAATGATGCAAGGACCCGTGGAGCCCCCACAACCGCATGGGCTCTTGTTCGGCACGGGTGTCTAGGTGAGACTTCCGGGAGGTGACTCCAACTCTCTGGGCCTCAATTTCCTCATCCGTGAAATGGACTGATCATCTGCCCCACCCCACCTCCTGATTCTGAGAGGACTAAAGGGAGAAACACAGGGCACACCCTTAGCGATGCTCGGCACACAAGCGGTGCTCGCTGACTTTTCTTCTTTCTCTGTCAAAAACCTTGGTCGTAAAATCCAAACGTTCTTTTCTGGCCATCAGCAGTGGCTAAAAATGAGGGTTCCAAGACAGGAGTGAGCGCTGGATCCCAATGCCTCCTGCAGTAGGACTGTGGGCTCCTGCCAGGCTTGGACTCTGTGGCTTGACCACCACAGCATCCCTGAACTTGGGCCACGTCGGCAGGAATACTAGGAGATCGTTCCACGCTAGGAAACAGGAGCTCCAGCCCACAAAACCAACCTGCCTGGGAGGGAGGCCAAACTGAAACTTAAACTCAGGCCTTCCAACCCCCAAGAGGGGACCAAGGTCACCGAACTGCCTGCGGAGAGTTCCTGGAGCTTTAGAACCCAGGCCCGATGTCTAGAATCAACTCCACTGAACAAAGCCACAAAATGCCAAGGCCCTCGCCCGAAAGTGACAACTCTTAGGCTGGAAACAAACAGGAAAGGCCCAGATCACAGAGGTTGGGGTGCTGAGTTTATCCACCCAGGGACCCCGGGGGCAGGCTTTCCAGGCAGCCAGAATCTGATCAATCTGATCAGTCTGAGCCAGTGTGATCAATGGCTGGGAGATAAGGAGCCCTCGGGAAGTACAATGGTCTTAGGGGAAAAGCAGAAAAAAAGACCAGTCCCTCCAGGTTCCCTCCTAAGTCTTCAAGAAGCATTTACTGAACATTGATGACCAGACACTTGTGCTAGGTCCTAGAGATGCAGAGATGAACACTAGGGCTCCTTCCTTCAGGCCGGAAAGGCATATGGGTATACTAACGATTTTATTACTGTGTACTAAGAAGAGGGGTATCCACACCTGCCTGTGGGGAGCAGGAGGAGAGCAGGGCCCATGATCCTTGTTCACAAGCTTTGCCAACGAGAAGCATCTCCTTTCAGATCCCTGACATCACGTCTTCTTTCATGACACTATCCTTTACACGTGCTACTATCTGTACCTGGAATGCCCTTCAACCTCTGGGGTCTCCTAGTAAATCCCTACATACCTGTTAGCATACAACTTCTATGTTACCCTCCCTCTGAAAGATTCCCTGACCTCTCCAAGTAGAAATGAGCGCTCTGCTGTGTGGCTATGGTTCTACTGGAGTGATACTAAAAACATTTTACAATTGGAACAGGTGGTCAACAGCAAATTGGAGGGGACACAGCCACAGGCAAGCAATCCCACATCAGCCCAGCCCATGGATATTCCTGTAGACCAGCTGCCCCACTGCACTGAAGTCGTAACATACATGCACGTCTCCCCACTGAAATGAGCTTTCCGAGTTCACAGAAGAGTTCTCTAGAAGAGCAGCTACAGGGGGGGGCCTCACCCTGCCCTAACTACCCGCACCAGAGCCCTAAAAATCTCCCCCGTTCCCCTTCTCACTCCATCACCCGCTATGGACGCTAGTCTCCATCGTCACAGCCAGGTCTCCAGCCCCAGTCACCACCATTTCTTACCAGGATTACTGCCACTATCTCCCAACTTGGCCTCCCTGTCTCCCCGCTCACTCTCATTGTGGCCAAAGGGACCTTTCTAAAGTGCAAATGGATCACCACACTCCTTTACTTTAAAAAGCCATTGAATGGCTCCCCAATGTTCTTAAGATAAAGTCAAAATTCAAGGCATTAAAGAAAGGTTCCAGGAAAGAGGTGGCATTTGCAGTGGACACTGATCGAGACAGAGATGGAACGTGAGGGCTTTCAGGCCTAGAGAATGACAGCCAAGAGGCAGTGCAGGAAGGCTCGGCCCAGGGCAGGGAAGGTTATGGAATAAAAAAACACGCAGCTCTGACTGTTCGGAATTGCAAATGTACTGTGCTACTATTTCCCTACTCCACCACCAGGTCAGACATCACTAATCATGGCAGCCTGTCCACTGCGCCCACACTCAATATCAGAATCCCTCTCAAGACCGGACTCTAGACAGCCACCACCAACCCCGAGAAGAAGACGAAACCAATTCACCAGCTCTGGGCAAGGGCTCGAGGTGCCTGAAGGGGAGGCATCGGAGAGAAGCCTAGGACAGCCAGGTGCTGGATCCAGGCCAGACTCAGAATGCTCAGCCCAGAAAACCCACACATTTCAGCTGTTTCCTAACAACTGCTCCGGGCTCCACCCGCCAGCAGGGAACTCTTCAGGGCTCCGGAAAGTAACCGTCATTCTCTTTTGTTTGGAAATCATTTACACTTGCTTTTGTAGAGCCGGCTCCTCAAAGGCAAGCCCCCTGGAAAAGTCACTGCAACTGTGAAATCTTGTTCTGATAAACAGATTTCCGGAGCCAGAAAATTGGCCAGATTAGATTCCAAAGTACTTGCTCTGAGAGCCGATGGGCTGGCGGCACATGGACTTGACAAATGAGAGGGTGTGAGGCAGAGACTAAACACCAGTCTGTTATAAACAGGAGGTCCTGCCCGCCACGGGGCTCCCAGCAGGACCGGGGTTCCCGGGGCCAGGTCACTGCTGACACAGAGGAGCGTTCTTTGTCCTCTTCTGAGCAACTCCATCATGCATGCCGGGGGCCCAGAGCCTTGTGCTAAGGGAAGCAACATTATCATCCAACTCAAAAGCATGAGGAGAAACCAAGGCAAAAAGAGGTTAAATTCTGTTGATTCTGTCTTCAAAAATCCTCCTCAAACCCATCCAACATGCCTCACTAAACTGGCACCATCCAATCCAAGCCACCATGACCTCTTGCCCCCTTTAAGCCAGTGGGTCTCACCAGAGGGCAATTTTGCCCCCCCAGGGACATATGGCAGTGTCTGGAGACGTTTTCCATTGTGGCATCTAGTGTGCACAGCTGCAGTGCACAGAGCAGCCCCCCGACAGCGAAGAATCATCCAGCCCGAAACGTCCATAGAGCCGAGGCTGAGGATTCCTGGCTTAACCCAAGCTTCCAACTTTCACTTCTCACTCCCCCGGTTCCTTTTCCTCACAGCAGAGAAGGTTTTAAAATGCTACTGATGGCTTCTCAGTGCCCTCAGAATAAATCTAAAACCCTGCCATGGTTTACAAGGCCAGGCATGATCCGGCCCCTGACCACTGCCATGGACATCTCCAACCCGTTTCCTCAAACACAACTGTCCCTGCAGCGAGGTCCCCGCACACTGTTCACCGACAGATTCTTCCACTCACCCTTCACCCGGTGCTGCAGGCTGAACTGTACCCCCAAAATTCACATAATGGAGTCCTTACCCCCAGTGCCTCAGAATGTGAGTACATTCAGAGATAGGGCCTTTATTATTATTATTATTGTTTTTGCTCAGGAAGATTTGCCCTGAGCTAACATCCGTTGCCAGTCTTCCTTTTTTTGCTTGAGGAAGATTCACCTTGAGCTAACATCTGCGCCAGTCTTTCACTAGTTTGTATGTGAGTTGCCACCACAGCATGGCTGACGACAAGGAACTGAACCTGGGCCGCCGAAGCAGAGAGTTCTGAACTTAACCACTAGGCCACAGGGCCAGCCCCAGGGATAGGGCCTTTAACGAGGTGATTAAGTTAAAATGAGGCTGTTAGGGAGGGCCCTACTCTAATCTGACTGGGGTCCCTATAAGGAGAGAAAATTTGGACACAGACACATACAGAGGGAAACCCATGTGAAGACACAGGAGGAAGACAGCCATCTACAAGCCAAGGACACAGGCCTTAAAAGAAACCAACCCTGCCACACTTTGATCTCAGTCTTCCAGCCTCTAGAATTGTGACAAAATAAATGTCTGTTGCTTAAGCCCCCCAGTCTGTGGTACCCTGTCCTGGCTGCCCCAGCAAACTAACACATCTGGCGCATCTCCTCACTTGTCCTTCAGACCTCAGTTTTTTATCCCTTACTCTGAGGGTCCTTCGTTGACACCCAATTGAAGGCTGGTCCCTCTGTTCTTCACTCTGCTCGTGCCCTCCGTTCTCCTTTGCGCTTCCTGACATATCGGTACCACTGCCCCACTGGACTGCACGCCTCCTGAAGGCAGAGGGGCACTGCTTATTCAGCTCTGCATCCTTGGCACCTGGTGCTCAGCAGGTCCCCAATAAATATCTGTGGTCGCTCTAAGAAGAAAATCAAGTCTCCAGTGGCTGATTGACATCCACCCTCTCCCTCATCCCCGGGGAAGGTGAGTAGGATCTGTACACATAAAGTTAAAAATAAGGGACCTAGGGGTGTCTGGATTTGTGCAAGTAAATTCCTACCCTGTCTGCTTTAAAAGAGGTTAGAAATCTTTTCAGCCCGACAGCAGGGCTTTCTAGTGGTTGAAATATTTATCCCATCTCAGCGTCTTGGGACACATTTAGAATCCAAAACAGACAAGCATTAGGACGCAGTTGGCTAGCTAGGGTTTCTCCTTCTCCCTTTTCCTCCTTTCATTAAGCTGAAAAATGAAAAAGAGTTGCCCATTTTCACTGCAGCACATCACTTAAAATAACTACACCATGTGCACCAAGAATGAAAAGAAAATTCCAAGTCCTCCCCCCCGGGCAGAGGCAAACAGCTTGCTGCAGCAGCTTCTCCCCACATCTCTGCCCCCACAAATTTATACTTGAGGAGGGGCCCAAAACCGGGGCGACTGTAAAAACTCAGGCAGCTGCTGCATTGCGCCCAAACTCTCCTTCCGGAACATGCAGTCAGTGATGCTGACTTTTCCAGCTGAGAAATGGGGATCCCATTCTACTAGCTGGAGTCCTCCACATTCTCGTCTCTCCCTCTGCTGCTCTTCTCCCGCTGGGGACTCCCCTGTCATGATGCGATACAGAACTCACATCTGCAAACCATCAACACAACCTGCTTTCAAATTTCTGCCCAACCGCTTTGTTTACATCCTGTGCTTCTGGACAACCATGCGGCTCAATGAACAACAAAGCAAGACACACTCACGTACATACAAACACACATACGGCCTAGCATTCCATTTTGAAGATCTCAAATGGATCTTCCCTAGAACCTCCCCAGAGAATAACACACCTCTTCCCACTGTCTAGCACCGAAAGACATAATGTTACAAGGCCACCGAAAACAACCCTCTGCTTTCCCTTTGACTCACTTCTTCAAACACACACACACAGTCCATGCACAGGGACATGTGAGGCACCAAGTGAGCTCGTCTGCAATGCTTTGTTTGTAAACATCCCGGGAAAATCCCTGAAGGTCCCCCTGATGCCAGACTGCTCCGCACAGTGACGCCAGTGTCAGATGGGACCAGAGACATCTGTCCAAGCACTTCCTAGAGCCACGCGGCTCTCATCAAACTGCATCCTGCTGGAAGGGAGAGTCATGCGTGGAAGTCTGAGCCTGGAGTGAGGATGTGCCTCTGGCTCCCGGTACTTAAGCACAGCCAGGTCTCCAGCTCTATCTAGTCTCTGCACACCACAATGCCTTGGGAGCTCGTTCCAGCCCCATCTGCTCAAGGAAGACACAGCCCAGGGAAATCGGTGAGAAGTAGAAAACGACTCCCGGGTTCAGCCCAGGACTGCTGACCGCTGGCATTCACAGGTTTCATATTTGCACCGATTCCTCATTCACACACACAGTGTACCATAATTACATTGACCCTGAAGGAAGAGCGGCTGTAATTCTGCTGCAGGAACAATTTACGGATGGAGAAAGTCACCTGGCCGTGAGTGCGCCTGGCTGTCCGCCCAGCACCTGCACCTCACACAGCCTGCTCGTTCGCTTCTCCCGTGAAACGCGAAGCAGCAGCAAGAGGATACAAGAGCACTAATGCTGTTTCCTTCTTAAAATGACTTAGCAAAGAAAGCCAATGGCTAGTATTAACAAGGCAAGCAAGAGACAGTGAGGGGGTGTAGGGAAAGCACAGTTCTTCACCAGGAAAGAGCTGTATGAATTATTTTCCGCCCATATTGACAGCCTCGTGAACGGCCCGAAGCTGTTACTTACAGTTGTTAGTTACGCTCCATTGCGTTTCGGGAGGAAAATTATGTTGGAGCAGCACTAATGGCGTGGGGATTGGTGAGCCATCGGCACGCAGCCCTCGCAAGGTCCAAGGTCCACAGCTCCGCACTGGACAGCAACACTGGAGGAGGATGTTCCTCATGACGCTGAGCCCCCCACCCTGGTCGCCACCCCTCCTCATACTCCCTTTAACAGCCCTTAAGAAAACGATCATTAATGACTTTTTAGAAGATCTAACATCTACTGAAGCTCTTACCACGTGGCAGGAGTTTAACATCAGTTCTCTTTTTATTCCTTCTCAATAGCCCTATGAAACAGGCACCATGCCCATTTTGTAGACAAGGAAAGGGAGCCTGAAGAAGTACCTTGCCCAAGGTCACAGAGCAAGAACAGGGGTCCACAAACTTTTTAGGCCAGACTGTAAATATTTTAGGCTGTGCAGGTTAGGAGGCCAAATTAAAGTATACTACATAGGTATTTCCATGAGAGGAGAGAAAACAATATTCACAAAAGTTTTATTGATGAAATTTAAAATATAATAATTGAGAACAATTATCAGTAATACAGGTCTACTAATTAAAAGAATGGAATCTTTTCTGGGGGGACAGAACAGGTAATATTTCACTTGATTGAGGTTCCAAGTTGGTGTTCCCTATCATCAAAATCTATTGCAAATATTCAACTTTTTTTCAACCATTTAAAAATGTAAAAACCAGGGGCCAGCCTGGTGCCATAGTGGTTAAGTTTGCACACTCCACTTCGGCGGCCTGGGGTTCACAGGTTCGGATCCCAGTCACAGACATACAACCGCTCATCAAGCCATGCTGTGGCAGGCGTCCCACATGCAAAATAGGGGAAGATTGGCAACAGATGTTAGCTTAGGGCCTATCTTCCTAAAAAAAAAGAAAGAAAAGTAAAAACCATTCTTAGCTCAGGGACTGTGGTGGGCTGGCTTTGGCCCGAGGGCCACAGTTTGAGACTCTTGAGCTAGAAGACAAAAGGTCTATCTAAACAACAAAATGGCAAAGGGACCTCCTCTCCATCCCATCACACCTGCCACACTCTGAAATGATCCCTGCGGTGTGGTGGTTGCTCCCCCTGCTACAAAGGCAGAGACCGTGGCTGTCCTGTTTCCTGCTGTGTACCCAGCATCCAGCAAATGCCAGGCACCCAGCACTCAGTAAATGCTTGTTGACTGAATGAGTGGTGTCTCCTAAGCGCCCTTCCAATTCTGACGCTCTCAGCTTCTGTGAATTTATCTGAACCCTATCTGAACTGATTTACACTTTTGTGCGAATACAATGGATACATGAGATTGGGTCTGCAAAACACTCCTGAGCTCTAGGAGGAAAGGAACTGAAGTGAAGAACTTCTGGATGAACTTTTACGAGCTCTCTCTTTTCACACACACTGTGTCCTCGCCAAGGGCCACCTGCATGTCAGGCCGGGTGACAACCTGGAGCAGGAGCTGTCCCCCATGTGCCTTTCTTTTCAGTGTCCATCAGCAGCAGCAGGAAGTGACAATCAGGCAGTGAAACTGAAGGACAAGGGAGGGGCCAACTTATGACAAATTTTATCAGGCTTGCAAATAAGCCAGGCTTAAGGGGGCAAGTCAACCCCACACTTCAGCACCTCTCAGAAACAGCCACAGGGTCAAGAAGAAGGACTCTGCTCCCATCTCAAGTTCAGCCCAGCTCCAGGAGCCCAGGGACGGCTGCAACAACTCTCCCAGTCCCCGGGAAATGATCTGCAGCCTACACTCTGCTCTGCAGATACACTCAGGCAGGGCAAGCAGGGAGAAGGCCAAAGCACACCACGGAATGAGGCCAGAAACGCAAAATGAGCTTCATTTAGACCCAAAAGCATAGCTTTACGAGCTCAGGGTAAGGAAGGATTTCTGAAATAAGACTCAAAAAAGCACAAGTCATAAAGACTGATAAATACAACTGCATCAAAATGTGAAACTCCTGGTCACCAAGAGATACTGTAAACAAAGTTAAAAGATAAACCACTAACTGGATGATGGTATCTGCCACATCAAAAACCCAGAAAGATCGATATCTAGGACTTTCTTACAAGATGATATAAGAAAATACAGACAACCCAGAAAACTGGACGGAGCCTCTGAACAGGTACTTTCGCTGATGAGAAAACTCCAGCAGCCACTTCAGATGCACTCAACCTCGCTGGTAATCAAAGGACAATCAAGGAAAACACGAACTCCTCTTTCACACCCATCAGACTTGCAAAATCAAGTGGCGGATGATGCGGAGCAACAGGAACATGCTGCACGGGCTGGAGTAACCGGAGGAGCGGCTGCAACTCCTCGTGAAGCTCAAGGTGCCCTGACCCGCGGAGCCCACCAGTCCTCTTCCGGTACCTACCCCAGGCCTGGGAGAAACGTACACGAGACAACAGCAAGAGGGCATTCCCTGCGGGACAGCCATTAACACCAAATTGCAAGACACACTAAATGATCCCCCAAAAGAGCAGAGATGAAAAATGGGGCGACATTCACAGAATGGAATATTGCCCAGGGCTTCAGTTCAATGAACTGGGGTGGCATGAATCAACATGGACAAATCGAGAAACTTAATGTTAAGTGAAAAAAGCAAGGCGCAGAATATCACTTAAAGCAAGCTTGAAAAACACACTACTCTGGTGGATGCATACAGATGTAAACGTAATTTTGAAAATGTACAGGAGAGAAAAATACCAAATTCAAGGCAGTGGTTAGCCTCTGGCAAAAGGGGTCAGAGGGTACACAATGAACTTCAACTGTTAAGATCTCTTTCTTTTAAACAATCGGGGCCGGCCCCGCGGCTTAGCGGTTAAGTGCGCACGCTCTGCTACTGGCGGCCCGGGTTCGGATCCCGGGCGCACACTGATGCATCGCTTCCCCAGCCATGCTGAGGCCGCGTCCCACATACAGCAACTAGAAGGATGTGCAACTATGACATACAACTATCTACTGGGGCTTTGGGGGAAAAAAGGAGAAGGATTGGCAATAGATGTTAGCTCAGAGCCGGTCTTCCTCAGCAAAAAGAGGAGGATTAGCACGGATGTTAGCTCAGGGCTGATCTTCCTCACAAAAAAAAAAAAAAAACAATTGGAAGCAAGCTTGACACAACATTAGAATTCAATGGAGCTGGGCGGAAGGCACACAGGCTTTCTTTGTGTTATTCTTGGTACTTTTCTCCATCCTTTAAAAAACGTTTCATTAATAAGATTTATTATGCAGAACAAAAATTAGGCTAATATTTGAGAAAAATCTAGGAAAGACATATGGAGCCATTTACCACTAATATTCTCGCTTCACAAACCCCATCAACTATAAAAGAATAAGAGATAAAAGGTGGCAATTGTTCATACTGGGGAAAAAAGAGCCAATGCAGGGACATCTGTCTGGAAGATTTGGTCTATTAGGAACTCTCTTCGTTTTTTGAAAGGCAGCAACAGTTGTAGTGTAGAAGCGGACGGTGGAGGAAAAAATAAACACATCTCCTAAGATAGACTTACCCACCCAACTTATTAAGCTGTGACATTCCAAAAATAAAAATAGTAAGGCCCAGCCAGGAGGTCAGATATTTTTCAAATACTAACTCCCTGAAACGTCAGAGTGGGAAAAGCCACAGTAAAGCTGACCTTCTCAGAATAGGCCACTCCATCTGCCTCCTCGCCCCTCAACACAGGGCTGCAGGAAGCTGAGCAAAGATGGCCTCGGCTGAGGCGGCCAAGGCTGTGATCTGGCACACCCAAGCATAAGTGCCACATGCCCAAGTCTCTTACCACAACAACTAGCTGTGTGACTTCAGACAAGTGAGTTCCCCT